GTCCTCTACTGCAGGGTCTTGTGCAAGAGCAAGATGCAATGATTCCCCTCCCTCAGCCCCTTATCCACCGTCCTTTTCTTTGGTTTTTTATTTTTATTTTTGCCCATTGTTGGTGGTTTTGTCTTGGAGCTAACAAGCTGCAAACTGGGGACACTCTCATTAAAATTAGTCATATGCTGAGAGGAGATAAAGAGGAGGTTGAGGATGATTCATTTGTCATCACAAAAATCAACCAGTCCAAATTCTTCAATAATATTCATCAACGACGAAGAAATTAAAAAAAAATGAGGGTTGTGCAGGCAATGCATCATGCAGAAGACATTGTAATATGTGTGGGGATTATTTGCTAAATGGTTAATATTAGTTAAAAATTGTGGTATTTTTATATCATTTTGAAAACTTTATGTGTATTTTTATATAATTTTCTTGACTAACATGTTTGATGTTAATAGTGATCATGATATTTTTGTACAATTTTAAAAATTGGGTTGAAATGTGATTTCAGCAATTAAGTTTTAGATGGAGAGCGTCCAGCATCAACAAATTTTGAAGGGTGCAAAATACATTATAACAGCCGTTACTTTTAATTGGCGGGTCCCACTTATGTCCATGTCATTTATACCCTCCAATAAAAATACTGTAACTACTTTTTCTACGAGTCCATGAAGTATTTGACAAGTTGGAAAAGTACTTTCAAAAACACTTTTCCATAAAACGAGGTAACATCTTCTATATATTTGCTTTGTATACAATAAAAATATTTTTAAAATCATAGTTTGATTTCCATCCAAACACCTTCATATTCCGCACGCCTTTTATAATTTTTCTCCTTTCTCTATTTCACCTCCTCTCTTCCCCCCCCCCAACCCTTAACTCTAACAAGAATGAAATTTGAACTTTTAAATGATAAAATTAGAAAATAAGCATAGCATAACATAAGAACAAAAGATAAATTATCATAGCTCCCCATGATAAATATTAATCATCAATTACCCATGAATCAATAAAATATATACCATCTTAGAAATTGCAAGGCCATCATTCTCTATATATATTAGAAAAATCTTACCAAGCTAGTTGGATCAAACTATCTTCATGCAAGGGATAAAAATCAACAAAATTTCATGACCTCAATTGGTAGAATGTTGGGATGACGACATGTTATAAAATACCAAAAATATATGAACAATATAATAGAAGCAAGAAGCAAGAGAAAAATGTAGAAGACGAGGAATGAAAGAGAATTCTCATTCTTATAGCTTTTCTCGGTTCGTACATCTACCCACGAAGTATTTCACAATAAGCATCATAAACTTTTTCTTTTAAAGCAAAACTATATATGAAGTTTTTAAAATAGTGCAAGAATATCACAGCTATTAAATCAACTAATGTTAATCTTTTATCAAACAAGTAGGTCAAGAAAATAGTACAAAAATACACATAAAATTTTTAAAATGGTGCAAAAATGCCATGCCTGTTGAAAACTTAATGTGTTTTTTTGTACAACTGTCTGAATTGTTTGTTTAATGGTGAACGTCGGAGAGGCTAATTTTGTGCCAATTGGTTAGCCGATTGGAGCTAATTTAGGGACTCTGCGACTGAGTGGTCCCCCTATGGGTTTACACGGCGGTATAGAGATGAACTGGGCCTTAAGTGCCCTCGTTTTGTTTTGGTGAATACTTAATTCTTTTGGGCGTTGACCCTCTTGATACCCCAAAAAAAAAAGATACTTTGGCGCTTAAAAATATTTATACTGTCTTGTGCTTCTGACAGAATAATTTATGGATAGATTTATACCTTAACCCATCATTACAGTTTGAGATTTGAAACATGACCTATATTTAGGGGGGGAAAAAATTCAAAGTAGGATAAATGAATGGGATTTCTTTTGCCAGAAGGATAAATGAGACCAAATTAAAACTCTCATCAAGGTTCAATGATATATTCAACCCCGTCGTAACATTTAATTCATATTACTTTATTGAGGAGACCTTCAATTATCAAAATCTACTACATTAATTACCCTAAAACAAAATCTTCAGCATTAAATGTTATTATTTATTTCCTAAATAAGAAAATATTACTGAATCCAAATCTTTGTTCATAATTTTACATGATATATATTCCCTTTGGGTTCCGGTTCTTATTATAATTCTCAAATAACTAATTTACATAATAAAAAATGACTTAACATTAGTTAAAAGCAATAAATAGATTAAAAATATATTTTTATTTTTAAATATGTGTTTATAATAAATGAGAAAAAATGCAAATGAATGTATGGAAATGTGATGAAAGAGTATGTGACAAATAGGGGTGTGTAAACGGTTAATCGGTTCGGTTAGTGTCAATAACTGAAATAACCGAATAACCGAAATGATCACATAGATGAAACCGAACCGAAACCGAACATGATAAACTAAGCGAACCGAAATAACCGAAATTTATTCGGTTCGGTTAGTAGGCTTATTCGGTTATTGGGCCTTTTTTTTTCCAGATACTATTACAGCCCAGTACGCACAATAAGTCCAAATAGTGAGAAATAATGATTTTTGGGGCTCTTTTTGTACAAAAAATTTGGATATTTGAAAGTTGTAATAAAAGTTTTAAATTCCAAAATCAAATATATCTTATTACACACTACATATATTGTGAGACAGAATAATTATTAAAAAAATTAATGGCAAATTGTAAATATGCAATTGCAATTCTCCTAAAATTTAATATCCTTGAAAACACCATAACACCTATAAAATTGTAAATATGCTAGGAGCCTAGAAGAACGATCATGATTCATGAACCACTGTCAATGAACAAGAAGAACCACCATCTAAGAGCAAAAAGCCAAAAACCAACGATTTAAGGAGGAAGAATCTATGACTAGCGCCTTGCGGATATCAACTGAACATAAAACAAATTCCAAAGTTGCTCATCAGATCCTGACTCATCATCAACACTTACAAACAATCTGAAGTCAACCCATTTTCTACAGTGCCTGAGGGCATATACATTTGTTGATTTGAAGGAAGCCATTCAATACTAGGAATTTATGCAATTGATTAACCTCTAGCTAGCCGAAGTTCATGTGGAAAACATTCAACACCCTACCATCACATGGTAAAAATCAAACAAGCAGCCCAAAATGGAATTTGAAAATCAAACGAGTAACCCAAAATGAAATTCCAAAAGGCAGCCTGAAATTCCAGCCATCACTTGTCCCAAAGTTCTTTGCATACAACTTGCCATCAAGTCACCAGCAACTGCAATTAAACAAGAAAATTAGAAAGTGCACAACTTTAGAGTTAAAGAAAAAACAAACAAATTAAGCACAATATTTGTTTACTCCTAAGTTTTTTTCCTGTTGCACCTATAGTATATCAACGATTGCCTCCAATGCAATTTTTTCCAAATATACACAAAGAAAAACAAAATTAGACTTCATATATCATAATAAATCAAGTATTATATTATTCTTATAATGTTTTAAGTAAAAATAAAATATTACCAAGTTCTATCTTTTAGATATCATCATTCCCTTCTTCTACAACATATTGAATTGAGCGTCTAAGCCAATCTTAAGAACAAATTAGAGATTGCACAGTTTTAGGAGTTAAAGAGATCCTAAATGAATCTAGAACTCATCCTCCAGTACTGAATGTAAACTCTGATGCAACCGTAGAAATTGGAATAGCCAAAACATCTCTTGCCACTAGAGAAAGAATAGGAAATCTAGGACCATTTAGCTTCCACCAACCTAAAATATCAAAATCATCTTTATTAACCTCAAGTTCTTGATTCAAATATCTATCAACCTCAGTTCTACTAGTTCTTCTACCAAGACGCTCATTCATAAACTCTTGTTCCTCAATATCAAGTAATTTTCTAACTTTCATAGCAAGATCATCATCTTCATCACAATGATCTTGTATGCTATGCAATGGCTCCTTTTCATATTGGGTTGAGGGGGAAAAAGTGTTTGTATTCATTATCCAAAGAAATTAAAAGCTCTTTAACATGCTTCCCCAAACTTGTACCAATTGCGCTAGTGTGCATTTTACACAGAGCAAATTGCACCCAATCTAATTTATATCGAGGATCAAGAACAGCAGCAATGTAAAGAAGTTGATTCATCTTCATAGGATCTCCCCAATAGTTATCAAATTTCTCTTTCATTCTGTTTGCCATGAAAGCCAACTCCGAAACATCAGATTTTGTCCACTCATCCAAAAATCGATATAGCTTATAAATTTCATGAAAAAAAGTATTAGATGTTACAAATAAAGAACCAGATATCCACACAGTAAGCTCATAAAAATGACCCAACATCATAATCATCCTCCTAACATTCTTCCAATCATCAGACTCAGGCACCCCTCTTCATCTTGAAGATCAAATAAAAAATAAGGATCTTTATCCTCAAACCTTTTAAAGGCTGTCTCAAATTTTTGAGCAGTCTCTAACATCAAATAGGTAGAGTTCCACCGAGTAGGGACATCTAAGCATAAGATTTGCTTACTTTGAATCTTTTCATCCACACAACTCTCTTTAAACTTTCTCATCCTAAGGGGTGATTGTCTGATAAAACGAACATCTCTAACTTTTTTCACAGAACTCCCTATTTCTTTCAACCATCAGTAACAATCAAGTTGATTATGTGTGCAACACATCTCATATGCAAGAATTGACATTTCATAATTGAGTGACCCCAATTCACAATTTTTTGTTCTAAATATTGAACCATGACATCATTAGAACTAGTATTGTCCACGGTAATTGTGAGCACCCTTTTAATTCTCCATTCAAGTAGACATTTTTCCATTTCCATTCCAATATCCTTCCCCTTATGGCTAGAAATAGGAATGAAATTTAAAATCCTCTTTCTCAATGTCCATGCATCATCTATAAAATGAGCAGTAATGCACATATAATTGATTCTTTGAATGGAAGTCCAAGTGTCAGTGGTGAGGCAAACCCTTTGCCTCTTATGCAGTAAATAGTCTTTAAATTTTGACTTTTTCATCAATGTAAATCCCAAAACAATCAGGCGCAACAGTCCATCTTGATGGAATTTTAAACCTAGGTTGAGCAATTGCCATAAATTGCCTAAACCCATCCCCATCAACAAACTTGAAAGGTAATTCATCAATAATTATCATGCATGATAAGGCTTTCCTAGTAGCATCTTGATCAAATTTCCAATTAGTAAGACCCATTTTTTCATCTACATTAAAGTTCAAGTGAGATTGCGCAAGTTCTTCAGGAGGGGGCTTCAATTTACAAGCATTCAAATGGTTGTTAAGTGCAGTGATTCCATTAGCTTTTGAATCACATGCAAGATCTTTTTCACAATAGTTGCACTTACCTCTAGTTTCACCTCTCTCATTCACAAATTTGGTGAAATGCTTCCAAACCTTTGATCTTGGTTTCATGCTTTTTCTTTTTTAGTCCCACTTGCTACTGGCATTGAAGGCTTCGTTGTTTGAGTGGTATCATCATCCCCAGCTTGAGCATCACCCATAGTTTCACCATGAGAAGACATCTAATTTAAAAATAAAAATATTAGTTACACCATCATCAAAGTGGAACATGCTACAGAATTTTCTCCATTGCATCATCAAATCGTTATGAAATAATAAATTCAATGCTTGCAGAAGGCGTCCTTAATTTTCTCCACTGCTTGAAATAATAAACCCTTTGCAGTTGTATATAAGAAAACAAATGAGGATAATTTATAATGAATAGATAACTCCTATCTATAATCAATCTCTCTTCTTTTTAATTTATAACAGATTATATAATCAAGCATCACCCATGGTTTCAACTTTCAATCAATATATATGCTGTAGAAGAACAGAAAGGGACAGGGGATCATGATATCAAAAAACATAAGTAAACCACTCAAATACAGAGGAATGTCAGATGTCGGATATAATCAAGCATCACCCATGGTTTCAATCAATATATAATTGATGTCGGATATAGAGAATTAATTTCAAATACAAATAAACCACCCAAATTAAGTAAAATTGTTTTATAATCATATTATGTTCTATCTATGCAATATACCCGTATCAGTTATCAAAGAAAAACATAAATCACTCAAATGAAGAGGGAGCAATGTGAAGGCACATGTGGATTATATAAAAAATATCATAGGAAGATCATACACAGAACACTAGAACAGATACGGCTGAAAAAATTTCTACAACTTGAATACCATATTTTACTTGGCTGCACGTGGAGAAGGCCGAAGGGAGAGGGATCTGAGGTCGCAACTTGCGATCTGCGATGACCAATCACTTAAGGGAGTTTGAAGTCTCAAGTTCAGACTCTGAACCTTGTGACGGCGATGGCGACGGCAATGGCGACGACGACCACAACGGCTAAGCTAAGGAGTGTAGATCAAAACTTCCAAGGGACCTAGGATGAAGGGAGTCGTTGAGAACTTCAGATTTAAGCCGCTCAATTCGACTGCGGCCCTGCGCCGACCTGTGACTGTGAGACTTAGGGCATGGAGACTAGAGAGGAGATGGGAGTCTGTGAGAGTCTGGGAGAGAGGGAGCGACCGAGCGAGTGAGTAGTGACTAAGTGCAAAGGCTGTGATTCCGTGAAGGGCTGAAGGCGTGAAGTCGTGAACTGAGTTACTGAGGTGGACCATGGAGCCATGGAGCACCGAATGCTGGAGCTGAACTGAGTAAACTATTGAACTCTGGGCTGGTGTGGGTGGGTCACGGGATTGGTGGAAAGTGGACTGGATCACTGGACAGATGGAGTCCAAAGAAAATAAAAAGAGCAGGTGGGCCGTGGGGACTAAAGAGACCTAGAGAGAAATATTTAAAAAAAAAAAGGGCTCATTCAAATTCGGTTATTTTGGTACTAACCGAATTATTTTCCAAGACACCGAACCGAACACCGATAACCGAAGTATCCGAATAAAATAACCGAAAAAAAATAATAACCGAAATAACCGAATTGAGTTCGGTTCAGTTTGGTTTTCGGTTCTGGTTTGGTTTTGCTCACCCCTAGTGACAAAGGAGATAGAAAAAATAATTAAGGAAAAAATTAAAAAAATACATTAAATATTAAGATTTCAGACAAACTCAAATTGAAACTTATAAAATAGATCACAATTCTTTATAGATTTGAAATTTATGAATAGGACAGGAGGGAGCATTTTAGGCAAAACTACACTCTTCGCCCTTTAAGAATTGTTTCGCTTGACTAGGCTTTCACTTATTGAAATCCACTGCATTAAATGCTATTAATTATTTTTAAATAAGAAAATATTACCAAATTCAAATGCAAATCCTAATTCAATAATTCACTTACCATATTACTTTTCTGGTGGCATTTTTAATAGGTGTTTAAACTTTAATCACTTACCAAATTCTTATAGAAGATGAACTCAACTAATAGCAAAAGAATCACAAGCAGTCTTGAGTCTTGACGTATATTTTTCATAAATTCCTAGGACAAAGAAATCATGGGAAAATTTTCTTTCCTACCAGCACTTTTTACATCTACATTTTATGGTAAATATCACTCATTCACTCTCTCTTGGTGATATTAAACACGTTATTATTCAAATTTTGACTATTGTTTGCGACCTAACTTCTGTATGATATATTTTATTATATATGAATTTTACATTTTATATTGATTAATCACAACATCATATACCATGCCGTGTATTCTAAAAATAAAGATAAGCCTCGTGTGTTAAAGTTTGAAATAAGCCAGGTTATTCATAACTTGTTTTTTACAGTGTGACCTTTTTTCCTACATTTTATATTGACATATATTCATGATTCAATTTCTGTGATTAAGCATCTATTAAGGATGTCACTAAAAGATCTACTAACAATTAAACAGCATGACATAATTTATGTACTCTTTTTTTTTCCTGAATTTATGAGCTCTTACATACACACATATTACTTTCAGTCCTTAATACAAGACCTAGCTAGAGATTTAATTTAGTTCGAAATACAATTCCTTAATTCACTTTGTCTCCCATCTTTTCTCAAAATATCCCTATTTATTGCAAGAGATTCTCACCAAGAGATAATTTGAATAATCATACAATGCACATGATTGAAAAGGACAATTTAGAAAGATCAACACATATTTGCGACAAATAACCAAGGTACTAAAAGCCGGACCAATAAATAAACAGGTCGAGGCAGTGGGTTATAAACTGATGATAATTAAAATAATTTAATTAAATTAAAATGTGTAAAAAATATTTATTAATAAAATTATAAATTCAAATTATTTTGATATTAGTGTATAAACGCATTTCCCTCGTCATTTCTTTCTCATTCATGTGCCCTCTCTTGTGCTTTTGTCATACTTTCTTTCTTCCCAATATCATTTCATCATTTCACTTGCATTCTATTGTCAAATCACCATTCTTCAAAGCCTTAGGTTAAACACAAGCCTCCCCTGCCAAAGAAAATCTGCATCCAGAATCACAGTGATCATCATACATCATGCGCCACTTCTTTTATTCGTCGATCATCATTGCTAACTCTTTAGTCTTCACTTCCATCATCAGAATCCACCATTATGATGCCGTAGCTTGCGTTGTCCTCCCCGAATGTAAATGCATCATTAGCATTGGCTCTTGCAGCTTGCTTATTCTTTTATCTTTCTTTTCTCACTTTTCTCAGTTTTCTTCTCTCTTCATCTACCCCGCCTTCCATTTTTTCTGATGCCTCAATAGTTAACCCAAGTAACTCACCTAACTTGGTGGGTTACGCAAGTTATCACTGGGCTATACCGATTTTAGTTGGTCCATGTTTTTGCCAATTTAGGGAGGGAACCGGATTGGACAAACAGCCAGTTCTTGGTCGGAACTGGCCAATTCGGTCCGGTTTTAAATACTATACAAATAATCAACTTAACTAATTTTCTTAATATGATAGTATTATTTTATACAATTGAACACACTTATGCATACAAACATGTCAACATTAAGTTTGAATATGAGATCTCATCTAAATGTGTGGGTGGCGCTACTAGTGGGCCAACTTACTGTTGTCTTGCTCTTATATATCTTGGTGTGAAATGATTGTGCAGGCATTTCAATAGGACAAGAAGCCCCAGAATGCAAAAGAGATGATGAATGCGTAAAATTATGCGGATAACCAGGAGCTATGTGTTATAGGGGAGAATGCAGAAACAGCTTCGGACAGAAGTGTAAACCCCCAAGGGCCTTGCACCGTGAGAACGTGTAGCCAAGGCCAATGTATCTGTATCTTTGATGCCAGTAACTAGATCCAATTTCAACTATCATGTATTTAATGTGTTGGCTCATTATGGTACCAGAAGGTTGAATTTAGTAATAAAATTATTGTTTTTAAAACTTTTAATTTTGATCTGAATATCACAATTCCATTTGAATTGGTCGTGAATTACTTTCTATAAGCACGGTATTAATTCTTTTTCAACCATAAACTTCACTTTTTTTTTTTAATAACCCTTTGAGCCACCTGATACATGGTGATTTTTCTGAATTATATTATCATTTTGTTATCAGATGAGATAAGAAATTTACCTCACATATATGACGACGAGAGACACACAAATTGAATTTTGGGAAATCATATCCTGTAAGAGATTTTGGGACCGTGCTATATATAATGTGTATATGTATATTTTTATCTTGAGCTGTGGGACACAGTAATATGATTGAGAATTGAAATGCCATCATCCAACGTATCTTAAAAAGAAAAAGAAGGACTATTGCGTAGGAAAAATAATCGAAGGAGGAGAAGAAAGAGATAAAGAGAGTTTGGATATGTATACATATTGATGGAGAAGAATTGTCCCCGCGGATTGATGGAATTGATCAGAGGGGAAAAAAAGCATTTACATTATAGGAGTTACCCAGTTGTTAAAATCTTATTAGATTGATAAGTATATTATCTTATAAGTTTTATTTATTTATTATTATTTATCTACTAAAATATGAATTAATCAATTTCTAACTTCCAGTTGGGTCACGATGATCATAAAGGGAGTAAGATCCATTGGAAGAACCGCAAACATCTTGCAACAACCAAGAAGGAAGGAGGCTTGGTGCAGGGTATTGACAGGGAAACTAATATTTTCCTAACTGTAGTTTTCTAGAAGCATACTAGAAGGGAGAGAATTGTTATTGCAGAAACATTAATTAAGTTGCAACGAGGAATCCAAAGAAGCAATTCTTCAACTTTATCATCCAACTTCTTCTAATGAAGTTAGTTTGATATGGCAAATTAAGTTGTAATATTCTTTCGAAAATTAATAAAATTTACTCAAATAATAATATATAAGAGCAAGAATTGAATGCAAGTATTAAAAAATTTAAAAAAACCAATAAATGAATACATTTTAGGATTCGATTGGACGGGGCATATCACGATACAGATCATATCAAAGCAAG